AAACTAATTCTACCAAATTATGCAGAGTATATTTAAAATCTCATAAGAATCTTGCGAAAAACAATAATAAAAATAATTAAATTTAAATTGATTATAAAGTATATAACATCAAAAATTTGCCGACTAATGTATACCATGGGAATATACGACAACAAATTGAAAGCCTAATAAAACTGCCAAATATGTTGTGCTGCTAATTCAATTATTTGAAACTGTTATAAAATCTATAATGTAATAAAATAATCTATTAAATGGTATTGGCAATAATTAAACAAACAATTTGATATTAAAATACGTTGTAGAAAATAAAAAAGGAACTGGAAAACGAATTCGTAATCAATTAAAAACATTTTTATTTATTTATTATTAAAATTTGTTTTATAATTTATTTATTATAATAAAAATACGCATAAATTACATGATATATTATATTGTTTTCTCGTGAAGAAAGGACGCTTTTAGAGAAGAGATTACAAAAAGATGTAAAATTTCAAAAACCGCAGAAAAATTAAATCTGAAAAGATTTTATCGTAAAATTATTTCGTTCGCATCGGGATCGCTCGCGTGATAAAGAGTATGTAGAAGAGAAGAGAAAAGAAAAAGAGAAAGAAATATAGAGTTCGTTTTGTAGAATTGTGGTAGGAACACGATAAACATCGGAGGGAAGCGCGCGAGTGCAAGACAGCGCCATCCGTCGGTCCGGAGGCGCAGTCGAAGTTCCGCGTGGCGCCACGAAGCGGCGCGTGATTCGCCCTCGTCCGCCCTCTCACGTCACGCTGACGCGGGCGGCCAGTAGCAGCTGACCGATGGGAGCGTTCGGACCGGTCTCTTCTGTACTCAGCCTCGCAGTCCCCGCGCTCGTGCGTGTCCGCGTAACCTCGTGCATCGTTCGGCGGTCTGTCGATCACTTCACGTTGGCCGCCGCGCGTCGTGTGTGATCCGGAAAAAGTTAAAGCGGGTGCCGCGGCAAACACGAGGATTTCGCGAGGATCGCGCATCTCCTACGTCAATTGCGAAACTGGTGAAAGGCGCGCGACACGCGGGACGAAGACGACAACGCCGCCGCTGCCGCTGCCGCTGACGGCGACTACGACGGGTGGAATTGCCACGGTCAACGGAACGCCGGGTGAGTAGCGATCTTCCGTTTCCTTCTCTCTCGTTTGCGATCGCGTCGCCGCCGTCGCCGACCTTCGCGTCTGGCCCGGCTCCGGCGACTCCGCGGAATCTCGCGGGCCGCGCGCAAAAGTTTTTGACATAACTTTCTCCGATAAGTTTCCTTCGTAACCTGTTTCATGGAATCGTCCTATTTATATATGATGTTCGCGAGATGGTGTTTATGTACGATCGCACGACGCTTCACTCCGTGTAGCGTCGAGAGAGTTTCTCGTTGCGTCTTCAAAGAAGACGTAACGACGATCCCGCGTACATGCGTACGTTCGTACGTACGTGCGTGCGTGCGTGCATGCGTGCGTGCGTGCGTACGTGCATGCGTGCATCAAACTAGCCGCGCGCACACGAGACTTTCGCGTTCTCAACTCGCGCGACTCCCGAGGTGACTGACACCTGATGCGTCGATGACCGCATGCCATGCGTGGAAATACAGGATCCGTCCACTGAATGGCGATGTCTCGCGGGACATACATTCGTGTGGGAAAAGAACGGTGTGTCGCCGTTTATTTTCCGTCCGATGAATCCCGCTGCATCCCCGGCGCATCGCGGCGGACAGGACGATTGTTGACGTTACGTAAACACGCATTTTTTTTCGCGCGGGGGAGAACGCGCGAGCGTCAGAGAAAGCGTCAGATGGCGTCGCGTCCTTCCGGGAAGGACGAATCGCGAGGCTTCCTGGACCGCAGCGTCGTCGAGCGATCTGTATATCTATGAATCACGAACAATGATTTTATGTATTCTGATATATGAAAGCTATTATAAATACATTTTTTTTTATACGCTTGATACATTTGTTAATGCATTTTATACGCTTAAACATTTAACATTTAAAATGTTACTTGTTATTCGTACATTTTTTATACATTTTATACAATTTTTACATACTTTTATATATTTTTTAACAACAGAACGCGCCGAGTTGTCATGATGACTCTACGATTTTTTATTCTATTTTTAAGTTCTTGTTTTGAAATACTGTGATGTGCGTATCGTAGAATTTTAAATTCTAACATGCATATCTTAAGCAAATGTACGGCTTATCGATCACTTAACCAAGGCTTCTTACATAAAGCACTTTCAATATCATGAAAAAAAACGTATATACTGTTATTAAAAAATGTTATTTACATATACATCATATTTACACCGTATACTACAATAATATAGTAAAAATACGATAATTTGTGTATTATAAATATATCTTACTAGTTTATTTTAAAATTTTGTTTCATTAAATTTTTGTTCATGAATTGTTCATTAATAATATGCGGATTATTTAATTAATAATTATTGATTTTTATATGAAACAATATGCATTAATTTATGGCAGAAAATTACAGATCTTTATTTATAAATTATTTTTATGAATTTTTATATGGAAATTATAAATCTTACTTAATAAAATCTTAATTAAAATAAAATCTTAATCTTACTTAATATAAATCTTAATTAATAAAATATACTTACAAACGAAAAGAGTTATAAATATCAAAATTATTTGAATTTTAATACTTTTCAGTGGAAGATTTCTTTGTTGATCAGAATTGATTGTGCTTTAATTAAAACAACTCGAGGCAGTTTGTGATAGATTCTGAAATATAAACGATTGTAAATGAAGAAGCGAACAAAACTTTTGAAAATGTTATTAAATATAACGAAACTTTATTATTCATCTAAATTGACTTTACTTTTCTAAAGTAAAGTCTTCAGATTTAACGTTTAATTACGGGGATAGTTAATGTTGAATATTATGCAGTTACGGCAAAAAGCGATGCTACTCTCGGATATTCTTTGAGAGGAAAAAAAATGGGAAGGAAAAAGTCCAAATTTATCGAGGAATCTATAATAAAGCTAGCTATTAAAAATTACGATACTGGGACATCCTACGAACAAGATTTAATAACTCTAAGAGAAATTCTTTCTCTCTCTTTCTAATTCTGAAATGTAGTTAATTTCTAACGAGGGGATATGAATAGTTATTTCGTGATATTACATTAGCATTTTGTAAGCAATTTCATGCAAATATTTCGAGCATTTTAGATATTTGTATAAACATTTGTACAGCGTATTCCAACACGCTATTATGCAGTTCCGATGCTAATCTATGTACCACGAGCAAAATGTTTACACGCCCGCTATCCGTTAATTCGCATTGTAATTAGTCTAATTAATAATTGATTAATTTCAGAAGCTAGGCGCTTCGGTTCAACGAGAACAATACGTCAATTTGCATACTTATTACGGTATCGTTACTTCGTATTTATCAGAAACACGGAGCTTTCGTGATCTTTCGCATATAGGGAATGTCTTCAGAAGTAATTTCATTATTTAGCTTGAAAAGATACAGATGAATTTTATTGCATTTAATTATTTAATTATACGTTACATCTCGCAATCAGGCTGATATTATCAAAATGCAAGTTAAAAGTTAAACAAATCGGAATGAAAAAAGAATAGGTGCACCACTGTGGAACTGTATTTATTAACAATACATTAATTTATCTTACTAATTTATCTTGATGAAGACTACTGTGAAATAAAAAAACAGTAGTCTATAGATCGGGAGATCGGGGATATTTAACTGACGATATTAAAATTTAAAAGAAGAACCAGTGAGACAATAAAAAATAGCGACAATAAATAATTAATACGCATACAAGATTGTTTAAAAAGTAAATATATATATATATATATATATATATATATATATGCATTTACAAAAGTAGATGACAAATTTAAACACTTCGATTTTAAGCCATTTTCAGCGATGTAATTTATAGTTGAGGCAATGCAACGCTCCCTAATGTTGAAAATTTCAACGCGCGTCAAAAGAAGGAAATTTCCATTTCAATCTTTTCAAAATTGCGACGTAAAAATTCACAAGTTTCACGGCACGCGGACGTAGCAACGTGCAATAGGACAAACAAACAACCGTAATATAAAATCTGGAGCGCGCTGGACGAAAATGCAAATATATATATAACTAAATCACCGTAGTCGGAAATTACGATAAAAACTATAAACGATAAGGACAAATTAAATGAGAAGAGCCGCAATCTGTTAAACTGTCAAAGGCGAGGGGATAATTTAATTGGAAACGCGTGTATTTACGTCTTACGAAACAAAAGCTCGTTGGCACATCTCCCGCGTGTTGCCGAAGGAGCGTCGTAAATTATTCGCGGCGCGCCGCGCCGCGCCGCGCCGAGTTAATCAGGTCTCTCCAATACCGCTCGCAATACCGTACGAAAGGCATGATGAAGTTCGGACGTTACGCAAAATAAATACGCGGGGCGCACACCGCCGACGGGCGTTGCGGTACGGGTAAGTCAACATCATAAATGCGATACGGGCCGGCGAGCGAAGACAATACCAAGCGACCGGCGGCCCGAAGAAGAAGAGTGTGAAATAATATCCAAACGGAAAACCGCCGAGTCGTTTTTTCCGCGGACTTATTGGAAATGTATCTGCATTTGTATCTACAAATTCGCACGATTATCCCGCAAAGGAAGCGCAATTACGAGGTATATTCCACCTGATTACGGACAGCCTGTAATCGCGTTTAACGGCTCTTTATACATCCGTTTTGCGAAACGAGCTGCGGTATTTTTTCTTCTTTCTTTCTTTCTTTTTTTTTATTTTTTATTTTTCTTCCGTACAACTCGTCGGTCCCGATGTTTCCGATGTCGCTCTCTCATCCTATCGAGCATACAAAATGTTGGTTTTG